AAGCCCAAGGTTGACAAGTAAAAAGGCACAGTCCCGATGTTACCAAACCACCCGGCCAGCATTAATTCAAGTCCACTGAAAGTCCCAAGGTCGGCAGTGCATGGCAGGCTGCTGAACAACGACACAGCTACATACAGGGTTCAACCATGCCATATGCCAGAGACTATTCCCAAAGCACATATATATATATGTTGAGCAAATAATCCAAGAAGGTGGACTATATGAAGAAAAACATGGCATCAGGATTGAAGGAAGAATCATTAACAACCTGAGATACTCTGATGATACAACTTTGCTTGCTGAAAGTGAGGATGACTTGAGGCACTTACTGATGAAGATTGAGGAACACAGTCTGCAGTATGGATTACATCTCAATATAAAGAAGACAAAAATCCTCACAACTGGACCAATGAGCAGCATCATAATAAATGGAGAAAAGATTGAGGTTGTCAAAGAATTCACATTGCTTGGTTCTACAATTGATGCCAATGGAAGCAGCAGTCAGGACATTAGATGACATGTAGCACTGGGTAGGTCGCCTGTGAAAGAACTCTTCCAAGTGCTGAGGAGCAAGGATGTCTCCTTGAGGACTAAGGTGCGCCTGACACAGGCCATGATATTTCCAATTGCCTTGTATGCATGTGAGAGCTGGACAGTGAATAAGGAAGACCAAAGAAGAGTTGATGCTTTTGAGTTGTGTTGCTGGCAAAGAATGCTAAAGGTACTACGGACTGCCAAAAGAACTAACAGATCTGTCCTAGAGGAAGTGCAGCCGAGATGCTCCTTGGAAGTGAGGATTGCCCGACTTCATCTCACCTACTTTGGTCATGTTGTCAGAGGGGACCATTCCCTGGAGAAGTATGTCATGCTTGGTAAGGTGGAGGGTTGATGAAGGAAGGGAAGGCCTTCAACGAGATGGATTGACATGGTGGCTGCAACAATGGGCTCAAGAATAGCAAGGATCATGGAGCTGGCACGGGATCAGGTGGTGTTTCGTTCTGCTGTGCATGGGGTCACTATGAGTCGGAAGGGACTTGACTGCACCTACCAACAACAACAACAACATACCCAAAGCTGCTTATATATGGGAAGCAGACCACATACCCAAAGCAACTACTTAGCTGCTTGTGGTAGATCCCACCATGGAGGTGATTACCAGGCTCATCATGGGGAATAACTACCACCAGCTGCTCAGCCACTCAACCAGGCCCAGCCAAGTTGACATACATCTTTAACTACCACACAATTCATTCTCCAGGCCTTGGTAATGCTCAACATATATGGCATGCTTCATCCCTAACTCTCTATGATCTCCTGTAATTAATTATTTCAATAAAGACCAATGAAGGGGGGGCATGGGGATATGCCCTTCATTGGGCCAGACAGCTTTACAGGTGACTGTAATCCAATTTAACAGAGAAACCAACTGGTTCTCATTCTTTGCTATATACAGCCTCTGCCTCAGGGTAGAGTGCATTGTAACCAAGACTAATTTAGACATCTCTAATCTCAGAGGTCAGGAGCTCTGGTAGGGTCTGACTCAACGGCACATAACAACAACAACAACAACAATCTCAGAAGTCTGGTAGCATAGTGCCTAAGGCACTTGACTGCTAACCAGAAGGCTGGCAGTTCACACCCACCAGCCACTCCTCAGAAAGAAGGTTGGGCAATCCTACTTCTGTAGTGATACTGCCTCAGAAACCCAAGGAGGGGTCACTATGAGTCGGGGTCAACTCGACGGCAAATAACAACAACAACAATCTCAGAGGATAATACCTTCTGCCCCCATATCCCAGATCCACAACAACCATACCACTGCAGATTCACACGATAGATTCACACGCTTTCTGGCAAAACTTGGAGGCCAGATCCACTAACTCAGTGGTGGTATAATCCCTCATGGATATAAACTACTTTCTTTTGAGGTGGGTGGGGGGAGGCAGGTTTTCAGTGGTAACTCTATCAGGGTATACTCGGCTTTCATTTTTGTCACCAACATGAGGTTGCACTTTTAACATGAGGACTTCTATTTCCCCATCCCATCCTTCTTCCTCCTCAGAGGGGGAGGAACTCTCACAGGGAACCCTTCTTTGGGTTCCAGTTGGCCATATTACCAGGGTCCCACTCTTCGACCAGGAAGGCATAGTCTTTTCAACTTAGCCACTCTGCAAGCTAACGTCTCTACCCCAGCTTCTTTCCCATGTAGCTGAGACACTAATGTTTCCCCAGTGCTAGCTTGAGCCACTCTGGTATCCCTTTCTTTCTAATGGTACCAAACCCAAACCAAACTTACTGCCATCAAGTCAGTCCCAACTCATAGTGACCCCTCCTTGGGCTTCTGAGGCAATATCTCTACGGAAGTAGATTGCTCAGTCTTCCTTCCGAGGAGGGGCTGGTGGGTTGAACCACCAACCTTATGGTTAACAGTCAAAAAGCCTTAGGCACTAAGCCACCAGAGTTGCTGGATGTGGGCGTGGGCTGTCAGTTCACAATCAGCCCATTCTGTTGCAAAGAGTAGTGGCCTACCACCACCTCCACAGTCGTGCACACTTTGGCTTGCTTTCTTGATATACCAAGACTACTTAATACCTCTTCTAAACCTTTTGCCTGTACTCACATGATGGTTCCTATTTATCCCCTAGGGCCACTTTGGGGCCCCGCATCAACATGGACAGCCACCCCAGATTTCCCTGACTCAAATTCTCCTCCCCACCCATGTTGGGGGCTCCAATGGGGTTTTCCTCAGTCCCCTTGCCACCTTGCCCTCTGCAAGGGGAGATCCCCAGTGAGTTCAGAGCTGTACTTGCACTAAAGGCCAAGGAACCAAAGAAATAACCCAGAGCCATGCTCTGCTACATGGATTTATTGGGACTTGCTGGGAGTCTATGGGTGGGGAAGAGAGTGAGGGAGAGAGGGAGACAGGGAGGGGGAGAGGGAGAGAGAAACTGCACCACCTTACAGCTACAGGCAATTTTTATACTGAAGCACACAAAAGGGGCACCTGGCCAGGCTCACTGACTCAGCTTTCATTCCTACAGGCCCACATACCAGGAAGTAGAGCCTTGAGTCCAGGTGTCTTTGTAAATCTCTCAGGGCTATTTCAAGGCCTGGCTTACAGCCTAGCATGCCCATAAAAACAATGCTCAGAATGAGAAAGCCTGATAAATTCCTGCAGTGATGTTATCAGGACTGTCACCATCTTTTAGGTATGCACAGTGTTTACCCTACATCCAGTGAGTAAAGAAAAAAATTCCTTGATGAAGTAGTAAAAAAATATATTGATTTTTTCCCTCAAGTATAAATCTTTTTAAAATTCTGGGTAATGAAGTGGGAAGCATACTCTTCCACTCCATATGGAAATATGATGGTGGTCTTTTGCGTTTGTTAGAGTTCCTAGCTAAAGTAGGTGCTCTGTTCATGGAACTCTATTTTTAATTGGGAGAGTGACTGACAAACTATAATTAGTCAGACTTGGGTATTTGGCAGCCATTGTCTCAAAAATGAACGAAGGGAGTCTTTCACTTCAAGGAAAAATCTAGCAGTAATTATTGATAATGATAAAGGTCAAACTTTGAAATGAATTTGGGATAACTGGAGTTTTGGAAAACATGGATTTACAATCATAAGCTTGATAGTTTCTCAGTAATTAAAGGCTTTTTAAATGATATGGGTAGTCATATTAACAAGTGTGATTATTAAAATACTGTATATAATGAAATGGTGCCAACATTTAGAATATTTACATAACATTGTGAACAAATATTTTCAAAACGATCAGTGAGTGGGTAGAAGATCCACTTATAGTCCAAGAAGGACCAATAGATTTTAATGTAACAGAGCAAAACATTCATTGATGTGGTTTCAGATTTCACACTGCAACCAATATTTATATATCAGTTATATAATATTTATTTAATATCAAGCCTTAGTGCCAAATCAAAGAAGAATATTCACAATTATTTGAAAAAGATCTTAAAATGCTTCTCCCTTTTTAAATTGCATATCTGTGCAGGGCCTGATTTTCTTTACAAACTTCGACTGAAATAACAACAGAGTGCATGCAGAATCAGATTTGAAAATCTAACTATCTTCTACTAATTTCAACTTTAGAGAGATATGGAACAAACATTAAATAATGCCACTCCTCATATTTTTTTGTTTTGAAAGATAGTTATTTTCATAAAATACTCCATTTTATTAATGTGAATAGGTTTATAATTGTCATTTTAAGTGAATTGATAAATAAACATTTCCCATTTCTCAATTTTAATTGCTAATGTGGATAATATCAGTAAATATAACCCATATTAATGTAAGCTCTTAGAGGTCTCCAGTAAGTTGTAAAGTGGAAAGTGTCCTAAAACCAAAAAGTTTGAGAACTATTGATCTACCCAAAAACTCCAATAAATTATTCATCACCATCAAGAAGAGTTTTGAAAACAAGAAAGTTAGGCTATGCTTATCTCAAACAGGAGTCTCCCTGGGTGGTGGGAATGATTAAACATGCCTGGCAACTAACTGAAGTGTTGGTGGTCTGATCTCACCTACAGATACCTCAGAGGAAAGCCCTAATGACCTGGTTCAGAAAGGTCATAGCCATGAAAACCCTATGGAGTGCAGTTCTACTGTGCAGCACATGAAGTCATAGACATTGTCAAATGTGGGCTGGTAGGGAGCGGCTGCATCATCCCTGATTGAGAACTTTTGCATTAAATCACTTCCATTTCTTCCTTTTAAATCACCAGATTCTGGTCTGGATTGCAGAAGGAAATGTCTGGTCTAGAGGAGCAAGATTATGTTATAATGTTAAAAAAGAAAACACAATTACAGTGAAATTCTTATCATTTAGAACATTTATTTATACTGACCTATTTCCATTATTCTAACAAAACACTGGGCAAATTATAAAACTATATATATGTGCAGGACATAAAGAGAAAAAATAGAAAGTGTTGGATGTATTGGAGTTGGTTAAACAATGCTGTGGGTGAATTGTTTTATTTGGCAGGAGTCTTTGTGGTCTCAGACTTCTGGTGGCCAGACAAGTCTCTCAGCTCCATGACCAGGTGTCCAAGAAGAACTCTCACATCCTGCATGTGTTTCAGAAGAATGCCCATCTGGTGATGCAGGTGGGGGTCAGGCATCTCCAGAGGTGAGGATAAGCATGGGTCATCAGAAGAAGGGGTACTCAGAGGAGGCAGAGGTTCTGGGGGCTCCATAGAAGCAGTTTCTGAAGCAGTTGGCTTCTGAGGAGCTGAAGTCAAGCTGGGGGATGCTGCAGACCTGGAAAGTCCTGGATTATGGGGGAGAAGGCACATAAAGAATGAAATCTAGCCCTGGATCAACCTTCATCTCTCTGCTCAATGTTTCTTATCCTTTGAAAGTGGCTGGGGGCTCAATGACAAGAACTTGAGGATTTATTTTCCTAGCTAGCCCAAATTTGAATCTGACATTTGGCTGCCTCTGCTTGAAAATCTGTTTCTGATGAGGCCTCATCATTAGACAACTCTTACTATTAGCCTCCTCTATCAAGGCAGAATCTAGTTCCCTGCAACATGGGTATGGTAAATGATCCTAGGTCAACCTCTTCATCATAAATGACATTAGATTCACTCCTGAGGATTCAGGATTTCAGAATTTTTAGGACAATTCTGCTGCCCACTTGAGTCACCTTCTCTTCAGGACAAGCATCTCCAGCCCTTTCTATTATTTTTCACATGGCATAGCTTCAAGCCCCCTCATCACCCTGGACACCTTCTCTGGATATATTTCAGGTTAAGTATAGCCTTCTTAAGGGTGGATCCTAGAACTGGGCACAGACTCCAGACACCCTATCCTTGCTCTAGACATTATTTCTCTAAGTGGCCAGAGATCAGTTTG